TCGACCGGATGTATTCGGTGAGTTTGTCAGGTATCTTTGCGTCGTCTGAGCTCAAAGCACTCACCCTATCGGCATTTGATTTGGTTTATTTCCCCAGAGTCCCAGGTCTTGAGTTGATAATCACATCTATTTCAGGTGGTTTTCTGCGGCCGTATTTATATAGTTACAACAATCTCTGTTCTGTCTGAAAGCAATTGGGTTTCATGTAGGTCGAGGGTCGCATGGCAATGATTACGGTCTAATTTCGTGGCGTCCACGTTCGCACACTTGCTTACAAGGGACGCATTTTTCACTCGATAGCTAGCTCTCAAGGTGAGAACTCTCTACGTCCACTGACTTCGCCAATGAAAAAGCTGAACAATGGGCACCTAGGTGTGTAACCTGGATGACCACCTAACAAGAAAAAATACCAAGGTTGGGTGAACTTCGATCAGCAACCAATGCTGTCACTCATCGGTGGAAGATAGCTGCAAATTATACCGTATCAACTGCGAGCCACCAGATCGAATGGAAAATGCCTCAGCGGTTAGCGAACGGGAAAGTAAGAGAGCATCCCACCTTAGGTATTCAAATCCTGGAAACCAGCCTTGCTTAATTTGGAAAGCCTCATGACCGGGTGTGGGTCTCACGTTGTGGCTAGTTGTCCCTCCTTTGCATCCTCTGCTCTTCTGTGACCAAGCGTCTCAAATAGCGTCAGCTGAGGAAACCTAATTCTGTCTGTTTATGATGGAGTTTGCAAGTTTATCCTTGACAATGCCACTACTTTTAGAGATCTCATCAGTAAATAACTTTTATTTCACACATGTCTGACGTCAGACTGCCAAACAAATCATGGTACAATAATGTTTATAAAAGAGGTTCCGTGATTTGCATGTGGGTTGAATACTGCCAGGTTGCCTTGTCCAGGACAAGTGCGTTCTCTTGAATCCACAACCAAAGCCTGGCCCACAAGGCAGCGGGACGGTGTGAAAACCGTAACCCATTGGCCCCGGTGTCCAGTTCATCGGATTATACGCCCTTTGGACGGGGTCGAACGTCCAAGGTGCCTAATCGAGCCGGTGACCACTGCAACGCCCGGGAAGGTGTGTGGTTCGGACGCCTCTTGGTTGGTTTAGAATCAGGGTTTTGGGCCAACTTCCCTAGGTGAGCTGCCAGTGGTCCGCCAACCCGATTATAGCCCTGGATGTCGGCTATTCGTTCTCTCACTTTGCTAGGAAAATACCCGCTACGAGACTATGGGGTTTATCCTGTTTGTTGTTCATCACACGTGGGTGTGTAATAAAAAAAAGGAAAGGGTGACCAGCCGCAACCCTAGACACCTTCCCTCCGACCGTACTGAGCAAGACTTCCAAGCCGTATTCATTCCCCAAAAAGGGGAAATTATTTGTGAGGGTTAACTATGGTTCGTCTGCCAACGGAAAACAACGTCCTGGCATTTAGAGACTAATGAGAGGGAACGGGACAAGAACCGACTAACAACGTCGTTTAGCATGCTTCGGATTTCTGAAGCCTCCTCAGGGGTGGGTACTTTGCATTCAAAACAACCGGGCTAGTAAAAAATTTCTTGCCAATGAGGCACCTGATCTGCCCTCTGTGAAATAGTCGTGGATCAGTCTGCCGGCGTTTAATACCACATTCGGTAATCACGTTGAGCAATACCGATTGATCAAGACTGCCGAATGCATTTTTGTAGTCTGGGAACATCATTCTGACGGTTTTATTTTTCTTGTCTGTAGCCGAAATTATTGAGCGATCAAGGTAAGCAACGGCGTCGATGATAAATCGGTAGATTCTGCCAGGTTTTCACATACCTCTCCACCGTACATCCCAAAGACGAGATGAAGCTACTCATCGATGTCAGCAGGGATGTGGTCCTGAGCTACACAGGATGGCTTTTGTTGAGCCGATTATCTAATGTCAATGGGTAGAGGTCAGACAGTCTCTCTGTCCTCCAGATTGTGTCTCAGTCAGTAAAAATGGTGGAGTAAATGGGCCTCCATTCAGCCTTATCCGCTGCCCTGCGGTTGGGTTCTCGTCAAAACCAAACTCTGGTTGAGAGCCCTAACCTTTTTCCTATTTAGTGGCTGGACACCCTAACAGTACCCGTCCATAAAGCTCCAATGAATGAACAAAAAATAATTCTATACTGCATCTGTCGTCGCGAAGGATAATCAGGACCTCGCTGCCCGGAGTGGGTAGTGGCAAGTGGGCTACTGCTCGGACATCCCAATCTTTGTTTACCTACCTGTCTTCTATCCCCAGTCCTCATCTTGTGTCCCCTCTTCTGACCCTCTACGTCCCATCAGGCAACTTGTTTGCCACTCGTTATAGGTCGTTGCCAAATAATACTGCAAGTAGTTTACCACTAAATAACTTGTATATTCTCAAACCTCGTCAACCTCTCAATCTGGGGCCTACAACGTGAGAACTCTGATGCAGGTAGATCAACGAGCTTCTCTTGCGCATACAATGGACTCTTTGGCAATCGATGGCTGTTGTGTATCGGAGATACGAATTCGGGATCCTAGTAGTATAAGCCATCTGAGTGTGCCGGGTATGTCCTCGAGGTATTTCCTTCGCACATCAGGGGACGAAGCTCGCTCTTTGGGTCAGCGAGGTGTAGGAATCGTACTCAGCGGTAAAGCCGAGGCCCCAATGATAGATAAAATGTCCGTCGTCAGTCGTCTGTGTGCAATGAAGCTCCAGGATTCAGTTTTCGGAAGGACAACACCAAAAGGTTCTTGTCTATCATATGGGCATATGCACCCGCCAACCGCAGTCCAACTTCACAAAAGGATGAGTTTTACGACAGACTCACTGAGCTCATCGGATTGAGCCCTAGCTCTGATGTTATAGTGCTGGCAGGTGATTTCAGCGCGTCGGTTTGGAAACAGCGCATTTGAAGCCCATCTAGGAGGGGAAG